TGTTTAGGCTTGATGGTGGTAGTCATGAAGTCTCTGAGAAGGTATTTCACTATGCCTAGGAGGAACACATGTAATACTTCAACAGGTGTGTCAAGACCACCATCGAATCCTGTGGGTTTGTACACGTAATTATCCATCAGTGACTTAAACTGCAATGATCTCAAGATTCTAATGGCTGACCTTTGAGCCGGAGAATTGGGCTGAATAATTTTGGAGATTTTGCCTTGTGCATCTGTCGTATCAAATTCTTTTTGGACCTGGGGGCTTTGCGGTCCTTGATGATTTGGAGACATTGCCGATTGAACACATCCCTTACTCCTAATTCTATGGATTTTTCATCAAATTTCTTCTTGGACTTGGTCATTCCTATGTCCCAAAGTTCATGAGTATGCTTGATGGTTTCAGACCACTGACGATATTTAAAGCTGGCCTGGGATTGGATATGCAATGATAGGTCAGTACTTGTGCGTCATCAGGGGCCACTGTAAAACTTACCTTGTTACCATCTGCATCTTTCCCTAAGAAATCATTGACATACTCTAGTGTTGATTTAGATCCCTTCCCAGGGGCCGACAATTTGCAGGTTCGACAGGGGTTCAAGGCGGTAGAGGGCATTGGGGTGTTTGCTATCTCTGCATGCATAGGAGAATCCCCAAGGAAGCATAAAACAAAGGGCATTACCAACACATCCTCCTGCAATCCATGATCATATGCATTGAACCCTTCACTTGAAAGTAAACTGGAGCAAATAAATCATAATCAGTCATGAGTGAAACCATAAGCACCATAAGCGGATGTGTGGGACCATTGCCTTACTTCAACTCATCTACAATCTGATCAGCCAATTCTAACGCAGAAGCAGTGTTTGATGTCGCCAAAAAATGGCAATTATATACCTGATTTGACATTTTGGGTGGGAGCCCTGACAGTGTGTAATAATATGAAATATGCTTATTCCATTGCTTAGATCGGTTGCCAGATGTATCATCTGCGTATAAGGTTATGGGTACGTGTCTGATAACCCTACCCTTGGCTTTCTGCCTCCATGGGTTTGGAAATGCAATCTTCCTACTTTTCCCACTCTGTACAGCTATGCATCAACAATTATCAACATCAGAAGTAATGTCAGTGAATTGCATCTATGTCTAATTATATAATATCAAATCAGTGGCCTTGAAAGCTTACCCCAAATTGAATGCCCATAAACAGAAGGCAAGGATTGACCCCCTCGCATTACTATTTCTGAATGTAAGAGAGCAAACTCTCCACATGCGACCACAAACAAGTCCGGCGAATTGAAAGTCAAACCTTCTGGAATGATCAGGTGATTTGTCTGTCGATTATCCTTGTCCTTTGAGACACGGGCCTTAGGGCGCACACATTTTGAGTAAAGATTCCCTTGGAATAGTAGAAGTATATTGGGACCACCAGGCTTTTGTCTACCAATTCAACCGGCTCAAATATGTAGAAATGTTTAGATTGAACCGCAACCATTTGAACCCTAAGGTCCTCTGGCAGGTCTGCCCGCCATTTATAACTTTGGCTCAGCTTGTGAACATTAAATCCAACGGGGTCCTCAGGATAGAATTCCAGGTGCTTATTCACCAAAGGATTAGAAATATCCTGTCCCGCAACAGTGATAATAAGATACATAATGATGAAACATCAGGTCAGCAGGTCAAATATAGCTACAGATCAGCCAGCATTAACCATTAAGATTGCTTACCAGGGCTATGGTATGTTGCAGGCTCAAAGAATAGCACTTGTTGTCAAAGAGGCTGAGTCTGTAGATCATTTTCATGTCCAACATGTTTCTTATGTTCTTCCTTGCATTCCTTATGGTGGTCCAGTGGGGAATGCTGATGCCCAGAAGACCCATCAGGATGCACCTAACCTTGTCATAATCTTGAGATGACATGAGATTGTGCAGGTGACCCATGAGCATCATCCCTAACAAATACTGCCGGGTGGGCCATATGGCATGTCAAGGGGTCAAGTAAATCAGCGGGGGGCCTATTTCATCTGCATTATTCCCCAGGGCAAGATGGGACTTACAGTTCTATCTTTAAAAGGGAACCAGCCCCGATCCCCCAATTGGCGCGCATCATCTCCATCAACCTCGGCGTCTCTCTCTCCACCCGGCAGCAAGTCATCATCCAGCCCGAACCCCCACACCGAAGGAGCTGCACTCGAGAACTCCGAACCGTCCGGCGACGACTGGCGGATGGTACGAATAATCATCGCAAGTCCTTCCAAACTCACATCCGAGAACCGTTCGTCGAACTCATCCACTTGTACTGGAGCGTTCACATTCTCCGTAAGTCCATCATCTGTTCGCCAGTCAATATCATCATCATAACCCCCATTTCCAAAACCCGCATCCAATCTCGCAAGCACGTCGGCTTGACCGATGCCCGAACCAGTCGGAAAGCCGTCAGTCCTGTCGTCAACGTGACCGGTTTCCCACAATCCTCGTAGACCTTGTCCAATCTCCAAAAATTTCTCCCTGTCTCGAACACGCTCCTTGTGCTTTACCCAGCGTTCATGGTTTTTGATTGATTGAAATGTCTTCTTGCTATTGCACAAACGGCACAGATAGGCCGGTTGCTGCCCTGGCAGCATCCATTCTTCGTAATACAATCCGACCAATCGACGCTGAATACCTTCCATCTTTTAATTGAATCGGCAAACTTAACAGGGGTGATTGATGAAACTAGCTAGAATGCGAAATAATCAGAAGCGACGGAGCAAGACGGACCGAATCGATCACAGGTATAAATTGTGGGAATGGAAAAAGGTGATTATTAAAAAACTAAAACTTAGGTGAGATTTCTAAATTTTTAATATTCCGATTTATTTGCGATTTCTTTGGGTGGTGATTTCTTTGGTGGAGAACAAATACAAGCCAACACGCAACAGTATAAATAGTCCAACAAAGGTTGGCCAGAGATTTCAATCATCATCCCACACCACAACCACACCAACACTCACCACGATTTCTTACCCATCCATCCGATTGTTCACATTATTCTGTAGAGCTACAACAACATTAAACAAAATGAATCACTACAGTCATCCCCACATCAACCCAGGCCAATCACCGCGTCAGATGTATACGATCGCGGATGCAAACCTCGGCAACCAACCTAGCAACATCACACCCACCCGCAACCGTGCAACCCCCAGGACTCAAGTACCCGGTGGAGGACAATTGGGCCCCCACCGCATGACACCCACCAATGGTATGTGAGCCTCTTCATCACCAACATTAATCCATGTAACTGACCAACCGAGAAACCCAGTGCGCTACCATCCTCATGGGGCCGGTGGGACACCGGACCAGACTTCCCAGGTCATCCCAGCAACAAACCCAGGAGGTCATGGCAATCGATCCATGGATCCCCGAACAGAAACCGACTTAGAAGGACCAAACTTGGGTAACTACAACAATCCCCAAGACTACTCTGATCTCATGGAGACTGGTCTTCTTCCCCCTTTGGACCAAGGCCTCCCAGATCAAGCGACCGATGACGCAGAGCGACCTCTTCCACCACCCTTGGATTTGCATAATCTCAATCTCGGCCCGCGCACAGCTCATCCTCCCAATCTGCGCAATTCAACCTCGCCAGATGACCTTCCAGCCCAAGAGGACACCGCCCAGGGTGATCTACTTCGTCGGCTCATAGAAGTAAGTTATCCATCTGAATCGTCCACCTCCACCCTCGGCGAGTAACTGTCTAAATCCTGAAGAAGCTCCCACAGACCCCCGACACAATGGCTTCCGTCATCAGTGCCCTAATCCAGCGTGGAGGGATCCCGCAACCCGAAGCAGCGGGCAACATGGGCACTGACCCCGGACGACACATCTACGGGAAAGTCATCCGAGTGAGTAACTATCCCATACATCGCTCCTGCCCCTAGGTCCCCAACTAACCCTTACCATCCCCAGGAACATGTGCGGGGGCAAATCCGCCGCATCTTGAGGCAGCCAAACCTCGCTGCCTACACCCGAACCAGTGGCCCAAACGGGGAAAGGTATACTAATGCGCCTTTCCCGTTGATCAGGGTACGTACCAGATCTTTATCATCATTAATGCTGACAGCTGACGTGTATTCCTATGTTCCAGGCTCACATTTTGGCGCAACCCTTAGTGTGGCGACAAAGGCATCTGCCTTCGGGGTTGGCAGACAATGATATGGACGCGATCGAAAATCTTGATCGCTTCCTGCGTACCATGGTGAAACATGAGCGGACAACCCTTCGAAACCTGGTAAGTCATCCAACAACCCCCCCCCCTCCCATGACCGCACCAAATCAGACTGGGCTGATTGATTACCGAGGTTGCCCCCCAATCCAGCTCCTGATTCAAGTGCGACCCGACCCGCGTCGTCGAGCCCCAGGCCCAATCCCCCGACTATTTGACCTCCTAGTCCTCATTGAACAAGGACTCAGCGGCCCCCGGAACGCACTAAGTCGCCAGGATTTGGCCAGCTGGGCAACCCGCCCCGTGCGACTTAGGTTTGCTATATTGCGACTCCTGGCAGTCAATCATTACCTCAACCGACCGCCTGGAGAAACAGCCTCCCAGTGGGAGATTATCGATCGGCATCTAGAGATGCTCGCTGCCCTCAGCCCTGTCGTTCTTCAAGCGTAAGTCTCACTATTCTCATCACCATTCAAGTGAGTGATCAAGTTAACAATAGAACCAACCACAGGCATATCGAGCTCATCATCCGCAAGGATGCACATTACTTCGATGGTAACAAGTACATAGGTGACATACCTCGCGAAACGTTCCATCTGCCGACTGACGAAGAGGTCAATGCGGAGGTAGCACGATTGAACCGCACCCCAGCCGCTGAGCGAGCCACTCAACTGGCCGACATGACAGATGAATAGGTAGGAAAGGATAGCCTATTTCATAGTGTCCTTGTTCTTTCCTTCCTCTTCGGTCATCTTGTGTTTGTCTGCCCCAAGAATCCTCATTACATACACGTAGTCTATCTCATCGTCTTTCTTTTACATACACGTAGTCTATCTCATCGTTTCTCTTTTACATACACGTAGTCTATCTCATCGTTTGTCTTCTCCGCTCACGTACTCCGACACACAAATTCTCCATGTCACTCATCGTATTTCGGTGTCCCATTTGTAAATAGCAAGGCCAATATGAAAGTACCTATGAATCCGACCTACCTACAATGAAAATGATCCGTCGGATATTTCAGCCCTGAAGAGCTAGCAATAGCCATCCGAGGCATTAACATCCGGCCTGTCCAGGTTTGATCCGATTTGACCCGTCGGATCCCGGTACCGGAGGAACCCCATCCGAAGTTGACAGCGCAGGTCTCACCCATGCGGGCGGCCCAACCGCGTGATGTCGTCGTCCCACCTGAAGGTCCTAGGATGCATAATCTCACGGCCCTCAGAGCGTGCACCTGAGGGGCGACGGCATGTCCAACCTATGACAGTGCCTTGACCGCAAAAACCGGGCAGGCTTGCGACAAGAATCGAGAATCCATAATCGCAGGCCAGGAGAGCCCCATGAGAGACTTCCCAGTTGACGGCGGGACATCGTCGGACCACCCCCACCCCACTGGGTAGACATGGGTCAAAGCCCCGACCACGCCGACCCCCTGGCTGCAAATCTGCCAATTTGACGTCGGCAGACGAGAAGGTTTGGCTGGGTCGGCGGAGGTCGGGCTGTGCGTCAAGCGTCCGGGCGGGTTGCCGTCGACATGCTCCCGTGGTGTACGTTGGAGTTTTCTTGAAACTTCCGAAACCCTGCAGTGCCAGACAGTGATGTTTGCCAGTGTTTTTTGGTATGCAGTACCTCAAAGTCTTCCCCAAGAGGGTGGAGTCGCCTGTGCACTTCATTAGCAGAGGTGCTTAAACAACATGAACTCTTGCCGGGATTCGAATTGTAGGCGCACAGCCTCAATTCCATCATGCCTGGACCACGGCAGACGCAGCGGCCCGCAGGCCTTAAATCGTAAAATGTTTTATGTATAATGGAATTTGTAATGTTGTAATCGTCAACTGCAACAGCCGACCTGGCAAAGCAGGCCGATGAGGGTCGCAGTTTCATGAAGACGTTTCTTACTACAATAGCTTACCCCTATGCCCCTGGCGACACACCCTCCGATATTTTTGGTGGTTTGAGATGCCACTGTACTTGTTTCAATCCGAAAACATGACTTATTTGTACAAGACATGCATGCGGTTTCAAGGCCCACACGTCAAATTACAAATCATTGAGCGGAGGTGCGGATCATCCTCGCTCTTTTTTGCTGGCGGGCGGAGTTTTCAAAAATCCAGTGGTAACAAATTTTACTTATACCACTCGTACACAAGATGTGACCCAGCAGCCAACTCCTGGATGCTATATGGTCACTTGAGCATCGGACCGACGTTTTGGGAATTATGATCCGCTATGTAGTCTACCCGCCAGCGGTTGGTACCTAACCCTTAGGATAACTAAATTATTTCTTCGTCCCTTTGCCGATCAAATTGACTCAGTTCGATTAACCACTCAGATAAGGGACCATGACCGGCTTCAAGCCAGGTTACTTACAGGCCCTTTGCACTGTTCTATTGTTGGTTAATGAGCTCCCCATGGATTTGACGCGGTTTAGAGCGGTTGCCTTTCCGCCAAATGCCATCAAGCATGTACCATCAAGAGGACCAAGCGAAATCCCCGACTTGGAACCCGCAAGGTGTGAAATCCCGTTGTCGTCTCGAAGCTCCGATACGCCCCCCCACCGTGAGGACCAGCTTTCAGGCGCGAAGGAAAACATTGAAGGAAAATTGCAGGTTGATGGCATTCTCTCTCCGGACAGCCACGAGCTTCTCGAAAGACCCTCCCAAGAGTAAGTTTGGTGCATTCCGCTTCAGTGTCTTCATCGTGAATACTTGGCCTTTAGGAGTTCCAAAATTCGCACTGATTAAGTTTGTTTCTTGTATTTAAATGGATCAGTGGTGATGGCTCTGTTGATTCATTGAACGAGCCCTCCGCTAGCGATATGGAAATTCAACGCGATACAGACAGGGAGAAGCCAGAGTAAGCTGCGATTTCCATCTAATACCAAAGTGATTCCATCGCGGAACTACTCGCTGAGTTATTGTCGACAAACAGTTCTCTAGCCAAACAACCTGTCAGTACCAGTCGCAACCAAAATACGGAGAGTCGTAGAGTAGACCATGGTAAAAAACTGGAACAACTTCATAAGGCAGAAGAATTACCGGGAGCGGCTGAGAACGTTGGCCAAAGCACTGATTACCCCCACCTCACCTCCCACAATCGATACAATCCCGATGGAGGACACCCCTGGCCAACATCACAATACCGCCTGAGCGAAGTGCATCCAGGATACCCGTCGGTTCCCAATCATAATGACTATCGCGTTCGCCCAGTTAGGGATCAATCAACTTTGCATTACCAACTACATTACTACGATGTCTGGGCACCCATACCAGCCTATCAACTCCACCGAGCTTACGCGTATTTACCGGTGCCAAAAGATGGGCCTTTCTCTTCAACCGTCCCACCCGTCTACGATCAATCGTATGCTCACCCCGGATTATTGCATCCAACCCACGACACCAGCTTTCAAGTAGACTACGGACACACATTACCAGCCCGCGCGCAAGCCATGGGTGATTCGTCTACTTTAGGACGTTTTCCTGATCATAAATCCAGCTCTAAATCTTTCCCTTCCAGATTCAAACAGCCAAATAAGTAAGCCATAACATTGTCGACGCCATTTTTTTTATCGAAGAGCACTGGCTAACCTTTTCTCCTCGATGCCTTGGTGCCTTGCCTCAGAGGAATGTATCAGCGCAACAAATCCGCTCCCCTCTGGAGAACTAAAGATCAAGCTAGCTCATCAACCAGTCTTTCTACAGAAAAGGCGCCCGGAAGCTCCAGCTCGGAAACCTGGTCTACAACAGGAGAATCCAGCGACACACTTGAGTTCCCAAAGGAGTCTCTGCAGCTATCACCAAGTTCATGGTCAATGTCACAACATGAACCCAAGACAAATCAAGAAAATGCCGAAATTGAAGATAAACTTCATCCGGGCAGCCCGCGTTCTGTGGATATCGAAAGCACAAGTGGCACGCACGGGACTCTTGGAAAAGCAAAAGAAGCTTCCCAATACAACTCCTTTACTCCCGAAGTACATTATCGACCCACTGAATACTCTAAGAAAACTACTAATGATCCTGATCAAGTTCCGCGAATCATGCCATCTGAGTTAGAGAAAGAATCCACCAGGCGCCAAAATTTGAAATCTTCCCAAGGATTTCCAAAAGACCTGGATATCTCCAAAGGCAAGGAACTAGCGTCCCCCGAAAAAGTACCTTCAGCGTCAGAGTCAAATGCTGGAGACTCTTCGCATGATAGAACTACTTTGGAAAATGTTAATACTCAGGAAGTTTCTGAGCGAGGAAGTATTCAGGAAGCTACTGAACGAGTAGAGCAGGTGCCTCATGGCCAAGCACTACCACCTCGTCTTGAGCCAAAAAACGAAGGGTCATCCCAGTCGTTCGAAGGAAAGCCCACGGATGTTAGGACTGCAGCTGCGAAGCTAGATGTGATTAGCAACCAAAAAAATGATGTTTTAGGAATGCGCTCCAGTTTTAGCGCGGACAGGAGCCGTGATGTTGTCAAACTTGTGCAAAAAAATAGGTTTGAAGTGTGAGTGATGCGGCCAAAGTGCCACATGGTATCCAAGAGTTGGTTTACTCTTTTAGTTCTTAGCTAGACTAATGATCCTATCTTATATGCATATCTATCTATAGTCTCGATAAGGTAGACCCTAGTGCGGCATATGACGAAAAACTTGAAGCAGCCGAAAAGCGACCTAAATCAGCGGAGAAGCATCCTGAAACAGCTGTGGCGCAGTCCAAACCGGCTGTGGAGCCACCTAAGGTAGCTGAGGAACACCATCGAGCAGCCGAGGAGCACACTAGAGCGGCTGAGCGGCTGGCGGAAAGCGAAAATCCTGAAAATGCTGGGAGTACTGCGCATCAAAGAACGAGCGACTCTGAGCGTGTTGCTGTTGCCTCTAGGGGAACTTATGATCCTAGGATAATTTTAGATTCTGCGAGGCCTTACCTGAAATCTAAAGTGAAGTTGGTTTTCGATGCATGGGACAAGGTCCCAAGTCTTCGATCATCAGTCCCATCAATCCAGTTTCCGAAATTGTCCAGGCAAGCTTTTATACGAAAGGTGGTAGAGCATTCGCCATCATTGCCCTCAGGAACATCGCTTTTGAATTTCGTGACTAACTCCAAATCAAAGTTTGGAAATATGATTGGAAGACGAATCGGATATAACAGTCACTCAGTTCCTCATGCGGTCAAAGAAGATCCAACTCAGATAATATCGACAGAAGAGCCGAAAAATATCAAGCGGATTGATGCCTCCCAGTCGTCTCGTTTCTCCCCAACACCCTCTCTGAAGTCTCTGGATTCTAAATCATACAAATCACCAACAACGCCTCGAAGAGAAGAAACCCCACAGTTTTCCGACGAAGTTTCTGAAAGTCGGAATGGACGACCGGGGTTGAATGTAGACAATTTTATCGATGGCCGGCCAAGTTTAAGTTCACGAAATAGAAAAAGACTTCGCTATGCCAAACTCAAGTCCAAGGAAGACATGCCGAGTTATGTTCAAGAGTACATCGCTCAGAATGCGGGGTCTAGGCATCAGGAAATTGAACTACTTAGGGTCCTTGGAAAGTACATGAAGGCAGACATTGTCGGCAGGTACACTCCAGTATACTTAGATGAAAAAGCGGCTCATGTAAATAAAGAAGCAGTTCACTTGATCCAAGAAGCAGGCAACTCAGAAAAACATGCAGTTCTCTCAGACGAAAAAGTGGGAGACTTCAACAAAGAAGACCCCGACCTCGAAGCCATGAATGAATATATAGTCAAAATGCACGACGGAAACTTCGGAGGCAAACAATGGAAGTGGCTGACTGAAAAGATTGGTGAAGTCGAAGGGAAAAGAAGGTGGAAAGCGCTGATCAGACAATTTAATCAACCCAGAATCCTGCTTGGATTTGGGGGATTCAAGAGACTGGCTCCTTACTGGAAAATTGCAAGACTCGGAAGGGTTCTGAAACTGGGAGAACTTTGGCCAACATTTTATGATGCGAAGTATGCGGATTATTGGTGGTTGACAGAGGCCCTCCGAAACCCCTCCCTCAAGATAATCCTGATTGATATCTTGGGCAAAGAAGAACTAGCCTACAGGATGAACAATATTTTTGTCATGGCTCGTCGTGTCTATCCTCGCAATTGGTTGGATCCAAGTGATTTGAGAACAGCTTACCAGCAAGGGCTTGACACGACTCGTATTGTAATTATTGGTGATTTTCTTCAATTTGGAAGTAGCTACCTAAGCCTTGAAGGTAAGCATGGAGTTGCTACATTCCGTAGGGTTTACTTTCTCCTTTCCGCAATCTGGGAAGCAAGTCCAAGCAATCCATGGGGCACTTCAGCGGAGAAGACTTGGCTTCTGAGGGATCCACATCGAGAAAAACTTTACAATGATAGGTTTGAACTGCTGAAACACAAGTGGAAATACGACATGAAACTATCACCAGAACAACTTGCCGACATTCATCCTGAGTTGCAACAAGAATTGACCCAAAAGGAAAAGTTGTCATCAGTCTGGTGGAATCCATCAGACGTGCTGGAGTGGCGAGAATACCAGATGGACCTCCTAACTATGGCTAGAATTGGCATGGAATTGAAGATACCAAAAGAAAGAAATCTTGAAATTGATTTAGAAGAACTAGAGAAAATTTTGGAAAAGAAAAAAGAAGTTTCAAAAGAGATGAAACAAATTATCCAAGATTGGTTTAAAAATAATGCAAATTCACCATACAATGATCCAATCTATCTGGGCTCAGAAGGTATACCACCACCTCCTACGTTTTTGGGTGCCTTATCTGATGTTAGAGACTTCTTATCAGTTTGTTGGCATCAACGAACCTTTTCACCATCAGATCACCCACTTTTTATGAGTGAGCTCAAGTAGAGGTTGTTTTCCTTTACTCAGAACATAGAAGAATTTTCTTGTGATTCTTTGTATTTTTTCTTTATTTCTGGAAGATTAGTTTTTTTATCTTTAAAAAATTAAACAGATTTTTTGGAATTGACTTTGAAACTGATCAAATAGATCAGTTTCTGACCATTTGTTTGAACAATTTTGCATTGTAAACTTGGATTGTCTGAGTGGTTGGAGTGAGGGACTGTAGGCTGTACCATAGCCTATATCAGGATTCATTTTGCTCCAAGTTTCTCAGTTTTTGTCTAGAATACAAAAATGAAACCACTTCACCTAATTGTACCCTGGTTTGAAGCCTCCAATTATGAGTGTGTGATTATCAATGATGATTTTGGCCCCGTTTGGCCATCCGTAATTTGTAATTTTAATTCAAGATTTGGCGGGAGTTTGTGCAAAAATTTTATATTGTTTTATATCACATGGTCCAAATCTGCACCAAACCTTAGCCAAATCACAAATCATGATTTGCGGCCAAATGGGGCCTTAGTTTTTTGAGATCAAATTTTCATTCAATCTGGTCCTGGAGACTCAGAGCTGAAAGCTAAATTATCTGCTGAGTTCCTTTGCTCTATAAGTTTTTAAATACCTATTTGGTTTACAACTAGCCCAATCATTTGAACTTGAAAAGCGCTATGATTTTTGTTTGTTTAGCTTTCATTTACCTGTTGGAAGATTGCTGTGAAACTCCCTAGACACTCATTGGATTGCCTTTAAACCCAATCCTTGTTTTTTTCACTCTCATTTTTTCCTCTCCTTGTTGATCTCCCTTCATTAATTCTTTGCTCATTACTCCCATCCCTCTTCACCAATCTCCCACTCCCCAGAAGTTAGGCAGGGGCAAACAGAGGTCAAACCTTCAACCACTTTGACTGCTTGTCTTGCACTGCATATCTTCTCTCAGTCTCTTCTCAAACTCAAAACGTCTACTTGACTTTAAAGTTCAATTGGGGGAGCCACTTTTCACTTGGGAAGTTCTGAGCAAAGATTCTCAAGTGTGTTTTCTTCCAAGCTTGTGAGGAAGAAGTTGGCCTTTTTTACAAGAACTGATGATGAGGACCACAAAGGTTGAAGTCTTGAGGAAATTGGATTGGGTCTATACTTGGCAGAGGTAAATAGGGATTTAGACCCGCAGGTGGCAACAATCCTAGAACAAGATTCAACTCAACAAGGAACAGTTGAATCCAACCTTAAGCATGATAAGAGTAGTGATCCATTGTTTTTGTGATAGCTAATCCAAGAGAAAGAAAAGTAAGGTTTTTTTGTTAATAAAAAAATCTGGTATTTCATGTTGGTTTATTTTAAGATTTGAAGTGTAAAGGCCAGTACTTTTTGCATTGGCAAGATGAGAATTTGGTCCGGGATATTTTGTTAGCAAGATTCCAAAAACTAATCCGGTATGGTTTGTTGGTTTGAGATTCTTCAGCTTAGCTGGTAATAGTGGGATTCAGAGTTGAGTGCAAATGCCTTGCAAAAGGGTTTGCAAGTCAATCTGCACAAAAAAGCATGCATGTTCAGCTCCCATTACTCATTATAAGGTTAGATGTGGCTAGTAGAAAGCCATTTTTGAAAATCTCCATACATGAGAGTGACTTGCAAAATGTTCTGCAAGTCACTTGCACTCAACTGTAAAACCCCCTAATGTATTGCAGGCTCATATATAACCTTTAGTGACTCAGAGGAGTGTAAGTGTATTGTTGAAACTCCCGGTGATCCTCTTGTGAACCTCGAACACGCCTCCGCATTGCCAACCACTGCAGTCAAAAACTTAATCGAAAACCTAATGAATAGTGACCCACAAGTGGGAACCTTAATTTTCCCTACTCTCTCATGTATAAAAGCAGGGGTTCTTCTTGCTTCTTTGGAAGAACTCACTGGCTACTCATCTCTCAACCCGCCAGCTACTCATTCCTCATCAACAACTCAAACCACTAAATCTAACGACCCAGTCAACTCCCTTCAACCTTATCGGCCTGGTCGACTACACTCATCCTCTTTGACCTCGTCAAACTCAATCATCCTTTATCACATCACCGTGTCTTATCCATTTGGTGAGAAAAGATACTAAGCCATTCAACTCCTCATCATTTGACAACTGACAGTCTCATTCTTTGTCATCTCAGTCCAGCTCTTGTCCTTGTCTAATCTCTTCTCTCAGTTGTTCTCTACATCAATTCCTCACCATTGTGGTAAAGATTCCTTTCTCTTCCTCCTTCATCTCAATGTTCTCTAATATGTTTCAGCGTCTAAAAACTCCTTGTTTTGTTCTCAGTCTGGCTTTGTGTTGCTAGCAATAAAGTTTTCTCACAATTAACATTTGAAAAAACAGCGTATGACAGATAAACTCAACACCTCTGCAGCCTCTAAACCTACAAACACAAACCAGGCATCTACGACTCAAACAACTGACTCAAAACCCAATATGGAAAAAATCAACGCCATGATCTTAAAAACGGCCATCAAAGCCATACCATTGCTTACTCAGGACAACTACTCTATGTGGAACTCTCAAATGATGAACTTCCTTGAACTTCAAAAACTCAAAGACACTTTTTTCAAAGAAGACATGGAAAATATTACTGGCAACGATGAACTACAAGCTTGAACCATACTCACATCTAAGCTGGACCTGTCGATTCACTCCAATTTAATCAATCACGTGAATCAATTCAATGTGATTTAGATTTGGAAATCTATTGTCCATCATTTCACATCTACTCAGGCCGCCAATCAAGCCAGAGTTTGGAATCAATTCTTGTCTCTCCCTTTTGACAATACTGACAGCGGTGGGCCGCTACGCTAAGCTACGCTTCTGGCCCAAAAAGCGTAGCATAGCGGCACTTTTTTTGCACCAAAAAACCATAGTGTTAGCTTATTTTTAGCGGTTTTTTGCTACGCTACGTTGCACTACAGCGCTTTTAGCGGAAAAAGGGGCCAAAAAATGCTAAAAAGCGCTGTAGCGCAGCATAGTGGGCCCTTTTTTTGCAGCCCACACGCCTAGCGTTAGCGGTGTTGTGGCGGAATTCTGCTACGCTACACTTAATGCTAACGGGAATTCCGCTGTGTTATGCTACACTAACCGCTACACTACAGTTGGTGTAGCAGCCCACCGTTGATACTGATGTACCAAGGCTCATTACTCAAATCAAGTCTTCTATTGAAAAAATGCATGAAGTAGGCATAAACATCAACACAGATGTTATAGG